AAGCAAAAGCTGGGGTAAAGACAAATGGACCGACGATTCTGTCCTAAATGATTATTTCTCTGCTATGGAAAGTAATATGGAAAACAAAGAAATTTTATTTTTAGGCCCATCTGCTACTTCTTTAATCAAATTTGGTTCCCCAGAGACAGTATTGGAGAGTCTTCAATTAACCTCCTACCACACATGTAAATATGCATTTCTATGCGTCAGTAATAGCACTGACTGTGAAAACGATGACTCTGGCTCCCATTGGAGCTTGTTATTCTTAGACAAGACCAATAGTAAGGCTTATCATCTTGACTCTTTGAGCCCAGTAAATAATTACCCAGCTCAAAATGTGGCCGATAATTTAGGTATTGACAAAAAAAGTTTCATGGAAATGCCTAGTGTGCAACAGAAACAATCATTTGAATGCGGAATACATGTGTTGGCAAATGCTAAATATGTAGCGTATCATTACTGTGCAGGCACCGGATCAAACATTCCCTTTGAAGATTGGTACGCAAGAACACTGGCTATCAAGAAAAATAGTGAGGAAGCTTCCAGTAAACAGCTTAAGCCGACACCTTATATCAACAGTAAACAAACTATCCCATGTAATAGAAAAAATTTTGTTCATCAGAAGAAAATTAGACACAACAAAGGAAAAAATGTCCATAAACTCGCTAGTTGGACAATAACAACAAAAAATAGGTTTGAAGTCCTGGACAAAATAAATGAAGAGGAGAGCAACAAAGAAACTTTGAATATACCTAGTAACCTTTACATACCTTTAGTTACCTTTACATGTGTCCCATAACAGCTCTACTAAGCCGCTTAATAAGAATCCCAAAAAAAACAGCTCAATAAATGCTCCCAAAAAGCAGCCAGACAACCAAAAGAGAATTATGATTACAAGTGACAGTCACGGGAAAGATTTGGCTTACTTCCTGGATCAAGCAAGTGACAGCAGTTACAATATTACAAACCATTGCCAGCCTGGAGCTCCATTAGAGTTTATAACTGAGCCCATCAAACAATCAGCGATGGTAAAAAAATTAACTACTAATGACTTTGCTATCTTGATTGGAGGGACAAATAACGTTACAAAGCAATCTGCAGCAAATCCAGCACCGTTTTTGCAATTGTTGGAAGAGAGCCTAAAAGAAATGCAAACTTCACTCAAACATACCAACCTCATCCTATCTACGCTACCTTACCGATATGATCTGAGTGCATCTAGCATGGAAAATAAGCTAATCAAGGAGGCTAATTCTACCATCAGGCAAATAACGTACAACCAGCAACACATTAAGCTTCTTGACCTATGGACCCTTGAAAGACGTTACCACACAAGACACGGGTTACATTTTAATAAAAAGGGAAAAAAGACCATCTCCAATGAAGTTGTCAGAATTATCAGAAACCATCAAGGGGATCATGAAGACCTAAACTATACTCCCCAACAGTCGAATCCTACGTTGCCACCCAGTGATACTCGGATCAACATTCAACACAAAATGCCATCATCCGCATCTTCATCACTGAGTGAGAAGCAAAAAGATGCTCCAAGGACCCAGGGAACAACGGAACCTCTCCAAACAGATGCTCCAAGGACCCAAGGAACAGCTGAACCTTGTCTAGAGACGGTCACTCCTTCAACTCCATTAAACTCATCAATGCATTGTGACAGCCCATGTGATCTCAACTCTTCTTCTGTAAGTGACAATGTACCATTTTCAGGATTTAGCACCCCTAAAATAAGTGAAACAAATCCTTTGCTAGAAGTTATATCCAAACTTGAAAACAAAAATATCAAGGCATGTAGTAGTAAATCTGAGCAGTCCAATGAATCTAGATATTTTTTAAGGAAAAAAACAGTTGTTTCAATAGTAAAGTAGCTAACAAAAGTCTGAGCAAATCAACACAGAGTGACAATGAAGTTCACACCTTTAAAATATTACAGGTCAATATTCAATGTATTCGCAATAAGGTTTTAGAGCTTGAGCATTTTAGTAATAGTCATGATATTGATGTTATTTGTGTCTCTGAACATTGGCTCACTGAAAATTTAATTGATATTTTTACTCCTAAAGGTTATATTGCTGCTGATTTAATGTGTAGAAAGCAGAGAAAAAATGGAGGAGCAGGGATTTTTGTACGTAATGGTTTGAATTTCTTAAAAATTGATCTCAGTAAATTTTGTCTGGAACTACATTGTGAATTTAGCTGCATAAGATTAGATAATATTGATTTAATAGTTATTAGTTTATATAGATCTCCTAATGGTGATGTAAATGTCTTCTTTGAAAACTTTGAAGCGGTTGTGATAAGTCTGCAGAAATATAAGTCAAAACTTGCAATTTGTGGTGATTTTAATATTGATTTTAACAGCTTGAATTTGCATGAGGTTATTGTTTTTAAAAATATTCTAAGGTCACTAAATTTGGTCTGCTCTAATAAATTGCCTACACGCTTAAATGCTTGCCTTGATAATGTAATTGTTAATTTTTCAAGTGATAGTTACTCTACAGAAGTTGTACCAGGTTGTTTTGCTGATCATGATCCATTAATTTTTAAGTACTTTCATGTTCCTACAGCCACTAAGCCCAAAGATAAAGGAAATTATGTATTCATTAGACGGCATAAAGAAGAATTTGTAGAGATGTTTGTAAATAATTTGGAGCAATTAGACTTTAATTTTATTACTGATAGTTATCTCAAAGATTCTAATATTTTTGATATTTTTATGTCATTTTTTACTAAATATGTTAGTCTATGGTATGAATGTTCTCCGCTTGTAAAAAAATGTTCTAGGAATGTCAAAGGCAAAAACAAAATAAGTTGGTACACTTGTGAGTTAAATGAAATCAGAGAAAGGATGCTTACATTGAATACGGTGTACAAAAACTTGACAAGGTGTGGGTCTGAGCTTGCCAACAATGGTTACACTGCTTACCTTCAATGCAAAAAGCTGTATAGAAGGAAATTATCTATTGCAAAGAAAAGTGCTTGTGAAAAATACATTGAATTAGCCCCTAATAAATGTAAAGCAGCGTGGGATATCATATCTCTTGAAAGTGCTCCTACAAAAACACAGGACATTCCACTGAATCCCAATGACTTGAATGATTTTTTTATTGACTCAGTAAAAGATTTGGGTAGTAAAATTAAGCCTGTGGGCCGTTCAGCTGATGAATATCTGCATGCTCAAACAAAGTGTCAATCTACTTTTCAATGGAGTAAAATAACACCTGAACAAATAGTTGCCATTGTTTCCAAATTTTCAAACTCCAAAAGCATGGACTGTTATTGGTTATCCAACTACATTGTCAAGAAAACCATTCACCTTATATGTAAACCTCTTGCGCTCATATACAATAAATGCTTAGAATCGGGTTATTTTCCTGAATCACTACAAATTTCAAAAGTAATTCCAGTTTTCAAAAAGGGTGAAAAACATTTGGCACAAAATTATCGTCCAATATCAATTGTCCCAATTTTTTCCAAAATATTAGAATCCTTAATTTATGATCAACTAAATAATTATTTTGAAAGTCATAATCTTATTACAAGTAGCCAATTTGGATTCAGGAAAGGCAAAAATACAACAACTGCAGTTCTGAAAATTGTAAATGAAACCTTAGACGCCTTCGAAATGAAAAATTCTGTCATGCTCTCTCTTTGTGATCTAAGCAAAGCATTTGACTGCATTCCATTTGAAATTTTATTAATGAAACTAAAATTTTATGGAATTAGTGGTGAACCTTTGAAATTAATTGAGTCTTACTTGACCAATCGGAAGCAGTTTGTGTCAGTCAAAAACAATAATTCAGTTTTGAGAGATGTAGGGATAGGTGTTCCGCAAGGCTCAGTTCTAGGACCATTTTTCTTTATAATTGCAATTAATGACCTGCCAGCAAATGTTGTGTCAAACTCTGTTATTTGCTATGCAGATGACACAACAATTCTCTGTAGAAATAGAAAAATTGAAATTTTAAACACCCTGGCTGAGTCTTCCCTTAGTAATGCAGTTGCCTGGTTCTCAGCCAATAAACTGTTTTGTAATGAAACAAAAACTCAAACTATTACTTTAAGTTTAAACAGAGATTTAGAAAATAAAGCCGTAAAACTTTTGGGGATATATATTGATTCAAAATTAAACTGGGGATCCCATATAGAACATGTATGTAAAAAAATATCCAGGGTTAGCTATCTTATCTGGAAACTAAGTGATTTTGTTTCTGGCGAGTACCTTAGAATGGCTTATTTTGGTCTTCTGGAATCACACATAACCTACGGTCTCCTCTTATGGGGCCATTCCTCACAAACAAATGATATTTTATTGATTCAAAAGAAAGTAATTCGCAATATGTGTAGGGCGAGCCTTGTGGAACACTGTCGTCCATTATTTATTAAACTTAAAATTCTCACTGTTGTAAATTTGTATATTTTCTGCTCATTAATGCACATCAAAATGAACTTACAAGAATTTGTCACAAGAGAGAGCATACACAACCACGACACAAGAGGGAAGGTGAGACTTGATATCCCAATGCACAGATTAGCCAAAACTGGGTCATCTCACAAAATTAACTGCATTAGATTTTTCAATAAACTTCCTTCATATGCTAGAACTGCACCAGTCAATGTTTTCAAGAAGAAAATGTACGATTGGCTATTAAAAAATCCATTTTATTGTTTAACTGAGTTTTTAGACTGTCCTGTGATCCTAGATTAACACTTGTAGATAGAATTGGCCAAGAAATGTTGTTATTGTCAGTAGTATTTGGGCCTATATAGGTTTATGATTGTTATATGTGTAGATTTTATTTTCCTTAGTATTATGATAGATTTAGCCTATATTGTATGACGAAGCCTATTTCATGTAATATGATCAATGGTGAATAAAGATTTCTGATTTCTAAAGATTTCTGATTTCTGATTTCTGATTCTTTGAGCCACAAAGCTCCTTGATAGTCACAGAAAGGAATTTCAGAGTAATCGTGTCCAATACATACCTATCCTGGTAACCTGGTGCTAGTGAACCCTCTTTCTCTTTGACGGTAAGCTTGTCAAGACCAAACCTCTTCCTCAACCTTCGCAGCTCTGATCTGTGTCTCGCCTCTCTTGTTTCTACATCAGTCTCCTGCTTGCCTGGAATCAAACAAGAATATGGAGCTATTTGAAGAGTGCAAAGTTCGTCATTACCGCTCAATCAAGCAGCCCCTGAGCTAAAACGTAATTAAAAAGTAGACTTTATGAGCTGACTGACAAGGGTAAAGCCTACTTTTAGCGAATTTCCCTATAGGGAAGTAGCTATTACCGTAGGTGGCACGGTAAGACCTAGGCCTGGGACCGATTTACTTTTTAATTTTGATGTCCCCAGATGCCAAAAACACCATTCGTCCAGATTGTTATTCCCATTTACTTCAGGCTAGACCTAGGGGTTGCGGCATTATCACTTAGAAAAAATCATTTGGTGATTTGACAGGATTTGAACCCGGGACCACATGGACCGAAGTCCTACGCTCTACCACTAGACCAGCTCACTTCTCCGTAGTCAAAGGTAGTGCTTCTACGTACTATCGTAATATACTGGGATCGTACTGATCTAGTGGTAAAGCACAGGTCTCTGAAGTCCAGGGTTCAAATCCCACCAATCACCAATGTGAAAATCTGCTCGGCCTAGCTTGAAGTAACCATGAAAATGGTTCTGAGGGAGAGCCTAGCCTGTACTCACCACTATCAGTTTGGATGGCACAGCCAGGTTCACAGTCCTGGCAAGTCTCCCTGCCTGGGTGGAGATGACATTCTAATGTGGTGGATCCCACCCTCACCTGTGTAACAATACAACACAATAAACAATGGAAATAATGGGTGATTCAAATATAACTTAAGATTATGAACTAATCTTTTAAACTTTAACCAATCAGTACTATGATTTGGCAATGAAGTTTAGTGCGTAATGTTGGAGTGAGATCTAACTCTGCACACTACAAAACCCAATCCAGCTTCCCGTCTCCCCTTTACTTAATAGGCCTACTTAGTACTTTAATACTTTTCGATGAACACAGCTTCACCATTGGACCTTCCCACTGATAGGCTTTACAATACAATATTCTTTATTGTTCATTTGTTAAGAATTACAATAGTGTCAATACAATAGTGAATTGTACGTGTTAATTTCCATAATTATCATAAAATTCCTTTATTGAGTAATGATAGAAGGGTCTTGTGATTAGCCACTTCTTCAACTCCTGGTGTAGCTTGTTGCCAGTCAGGTCTCTCAGGTAGTCAGGTAGATGGTTCCTCAGTTTGCAGCCGGTGTAGGAAGGTTTTTTTTCTCCCAAAGAGTTGTTCGGTGAACTGGTAGGGCAAATTTATCTTACTACCTTCTCTCTTTTTCTCAAGCTACCAACCCTATTTTTATTTGTGTGTATCAACGCCATTTGCATTTTATACATTTTCCGTGAGGGAACGATCCAAACACTGGTCTTGTTACCATTATCTTTTTGTTAGATAGCATCATTAATTTTTAGTCCCTTGGCTAATGATCTCACTGGGAATCAAACCAGCTACCTTCAGATTTGAAGACAAGCACTATAACCACTTGACTACCAGGAGAATTTAGCACAAGAACAATCAGTTAATTGTCGTGCAGTCATCAAAGCCAAACCAAGACAAAAAATCTTTAAAGATAAAAAATACAAGTTAAATAAGTAAACTGCAAATTAACTGAAAATTTTTTCTATTACTTCACTTACCTCTTTGGAATTTTCCAATGGTTGAACATTTATTACTGGTTTTTTGTTCAAATCTTTCAAATTCCTACTAAAAACATTGAAAACATATTTTGAGCATTATGTTTTACCTGAGTTCCGTGATGGAGGGCGACTGGGTCACTCTCTCGTAGGGCGACTGAGACACGATGTCCGTCAACAAATGTTCCATTCCGACTGCCCAAGTCCACCAGTTGGTAACACTGATGCTCCTCACTGTAGCTAACCTTCGCATGGTGCTGTCACAAGGGAAACACAAGTTTGATTGATGAGAGAAGACGTGTGTTTTGGGTTTATAGTTAATAAATACAGCATACAATATAACACTAACCCTCAAATAAGAGATACTTTTAGTCTACTATTTATCTCAGTATCAGGATGAGTGGAGAACGGAGTGAGATGCCTTGTGTAGCTTTGTTACTGACTAACTTCATTTCTACGATTTCAAGACTTAAAATGTTTCTAAAAATTCTATTTCATAAGTTATGTTATGTAATTGGATTTTTTCAACGTGTCTGGGACACTGTAGTTTGAAACAAAAGACGCGTTGTAAAATTCCAATTAAATTATAAAACTTATTAAAAACCAACGTCATTAAAAATTTTTGTGATTCTATTGTAACAGGCATTTAATGAAACTGCCAAGAGTCAACTTAAAACTCTACATACCTTGCTGATACTAATGTCAGGTATGGTAATGGCGTGGTCGCCTTCCCTCCCCAGTGTTCCACCCGTGCACGTGACGATGAACAGAGAACCTATGACCAAGTTGTCCAGCGTCGTCTGCTTCACGACCACCCGCAGACAAGGCGGCCACGCACTTGCGATCTCTGGAACAAAACATACAACTCTTGATTGTACATAAGGAGGAAATAGCTCTTGTAAAAAGTGTATTAGCATACTTTCAAAATAGACTCCCTCTTATCCGGACTCCTCGGGACCGAGGCCAGTCCGGATAACAGTTTTTTCAGTTAAACGGACGTCCCCAAAATCACGTTAAAACAGCCTATTTAATGCATGCAACCCAAATATATGACTTAAATTTAGGAGAGCATTGTGTTTATATACGTGATCACTGATCTCAATTCTTTCCCATGAGAACAGTCGTTTCAGTACCGCCCACTTCCTGCTGATCAAGTCCGGTTAAACCGGTGTGCTGATAAAAATTCTCCGGTTAAAGAGATGACATTTACGCCAAGTGTAGTCCGGTTAAACTGATGTCCGGGTAAAAGGTGTTCGGATAAGAGGGAGTTTACTGTAATACTAAAAAAGTTGTTAATGAGCCTACAAAAGTTACAAATTTCAGCCACCGTGTTGGATCATAATGTGGATAGATTGAAGTTTAGGGAAGCAATGTTAAGGATATTACAGGTGCGAAGTTGACTGAGCATAAATTAACTTTGTATAGTGTTGTAGCAAAACAAAAATACTTTATTTATACTTAACCATAATTTATTTAGTGGAAGTTTGGCGACAAAAAAGATGTCAGTTATTCTTCCTAGACCTAACAGCACTAATGGAACTGTGTGAAAAAAGGGTATTTTATACGAATCTAAAATATCATCCCATTGCCTGTACTTTTCCGACTTCTAAACTCTATGTTGAGTGGCAAAATGTTCAAAGTCCTCTTAAAAAAACAAACATTTCTTCAGAAAGTTCAAAGATGTTTTACCTCAAAGGTTAGTTAAGTCATAGACAAAAAGAATGAAATATAGACTGTCAGCCGTGCTGCGGTTACCATAAGTTCCGGCACACACCGCTGTAGTTTACGTAGCGCGTACGCTGTAACTACCGTGGCGATCCCAGCGGTGTGCGCCAGAACTTATGGTAACCGCAGCACAGCTGACGGTCTATATTTAATTCTTTTTGACCATAGACAAAAGTACTTGCAAAATTGAAAATTTGTACTTGAGTTTTAAAAAAGCTCATGTTCAGATAATATTGCTCAAGCAACTCAAAAAACGCACTTGACTAGAATAATGTTCACCCTGCTATGCAGGTTAGGACCCACTTTTTTGTACACTTTTTTAATGAGGTTGGCGGCCTATTTTAACCTTGCATTTGCCCGTGCACATAGGCTATGGACCTGTCCGTGGTCGTGGAACATATCTAGCAAAGCAAGGGGTGAGCTGGTATAGTTCAAGGGTGAACTGTACTAAAAAGTAGTGGCAGTGTCCAAGATCCAAGCCCACGACATCGCTACCTTGGGCCCGAAGTCCAAGATGCTACTGACTGAGCCACCAACTCCTGGTGTGTACTATAAAATAAATCACCTTTGAGATAAACATTCAGTTTGCATTTAGCAGTTCCATTATTATATAAAAGCAGGGTAGTTGTTAATTGGATTAGATCTTCCATTTAAAAAATAACCTTCCACCACTTTGAGGACTTTTATCAAAGTAAAATCAGTCCAAATGACATCACCAAAGAATTCTCCTTTTTTACTTTCTCCCATAGTATATGGAGTATATTGTTTTTGTCAAAATGTTTGAGTTTGAGTTTTGAGTGTAACCATCCGATTTGGGCCCCCATTGATCCGAAAAAATTGTTTTCGAAGTGATGTCTGTGTGTGTCTGTCTGTATGTGTGGATGTGTACAGAGCTACAGACCACACCTGTAGTCCGATTTTGATTAAATTTGGTATGTAGGTAATCCATGGTATCTCCAGGCGTTTTTTCATGTTTTTGAAATTTTGATTATTAATGGCGATTTTTCCATAAAACCTTTAAATTAACAGAAAAATCGAATTTTCTAAAAAATGGCTTGAAAGATTTTGATAAAACTTTAGTATGTTATAGCCCTTCAAACTCTGAACAAAATGGTACTCAGGGTACTCCTATCGCTGTAAAAATTATGGTTCAAGAGCTATTGTAACTTTTATGTTTTTTCCATAAAAACCCCATAAAATAACAGAAAATCAATTTTTTCTATTTATAATAAATAAAAATAAAAATTAAATAAAAAGCCTGTTGTTATCACAATTTGTATGTTATGACTCCCAATAATTATCAACAAAATAGTGCAACCCCCCATTGCTGTAAACATTACAGTTCAAGAGTTTTTGCACCTTATTCTAAAAAAAATACCATACTTACTCCCACCGCATACCCATGATAAAGGTTGTTGACAAGCTAAAAAATGGGAGAAAGTATGTGTCAGATTGCTGATACCGGTTATTTACTATAAGAAACTTAATGTTCAGCCATGTAAACAATGTGAGTTTCTTAAAAACCTTCATTACACCATTGTAATCAGTGGTGTAGTGGTGAGGGAAAGCGAACAGCGTCCGAACTCTGCTTTTTCAAAGAACCTAAACCTAAGTATTGGTAAACATACTAAGTATTTTTCTGTGATATTGTATCGGTTGTGAAAAATGTACGACAACACCACTGATTGTACCGGGGATTTTTAACAGTTGTGTTGGCTGAAGTTACTACTATACCAACCACAAACGTCACTTTACAAAACAATAAAAACAACTAGTACCAGCATCTGATGAAACGATTTGAGGAACTTCTATCTTTGGTTTGTCAGTATTTTCTGTGTGGTTTGTACTTGGATCACTTGCATCACTTGATTGAATCACTTCAGTAATCTCTTTTTCACAGTCACTACCACTATCTGAGCATTCGCCCTCTTCTTTTATCTCTATTTTTATCTTCTTTGGTATCTAGATAATGAGAAATGGGGAAAATAACTTTTAATGTTATATCTAGCAACAAAGTTGTAAAATGTAATATTTTTTGTGATAACACCAAATGAAAGAATCTGTTTTGCTGCTTATATGGATGGAAGAAAAATATTTTAAAGGAAGCTGTATTGCAAACTGTATTTCTCCATAGCTTTGTTATTTTTTTTTTTTTTTTTTTTTTTTTTTGTATGGGCTACTTTGAACTTGAACTATGTAATAAATAGATTTACACACCCTAACGTTGTCAATCCTATTTAAATATCAGTTGACTTGTTCTAGTTTCTAGTTTCATTTTTAAACCTTTACTTCCGTATAAAATTATTTAAAAACATTGTTTTTGTTAATAGAACAAAACAATAATAGGCACATTTTGTTTGTAGCCAATAACAATATGAAAAAGTACAAGGGAAAAAGGTTTTCATCTTTGCTTCTAAATGGGTGTAGGGTACTTTGAGGTATTGACCTCCCCTTTTATAACAAATTGCCTGATATTAAACCAAATATGTATTTTAGACAAAAGATATTCCATATTGTCACTGAGCTGGCGATGCTTAATGAGTAGCTTTTAAACAATTGAAACCAATAATTAATTGTAATTTGATGGGGAGGAGGTGCTAGTGACATGATGGCTGCTGAGCTGATGGGCATAAAACGTATACCTACTGTTTTACATGGCGTTAAGGGACACTCTTGTATTGCTAAGGGGATAGTTAGCGACAAAAACAGCTGACATTAAAAACATTTTGAGTGCAAAGTATTGACTATAAATACCACTAACAGCTGTGTCATGGCTATCTTTAACTCCAGGCCGTGGCCATCGAAGTGGCAACGTCGCAAGTATTGTTGTAACAACTGTTTTGTTTGGAGGCAGCTGACGGTGTTTGTATATTTTTTTTTTGAATAAGAAAGCTTGGTTCTTGGGTTATGAAAATATTGACTCCATTTTCATTGTACCGGGTACAGAGATAGATTTTCAATTTATATTGTTTTGGTTTTCAATTCTATATGTTTCATTTTCAATCTTTTTATAAATTTATATTCATAAATTTAAATAAATAATACGCTAATCAATGAGCTGGTGTCACCACTCTGCCATGTTATCTTATGGGACGTCTGGCGCTAAACACTACTTGCGACGTTGAAAATTCTACCAGGCCGCGACCTGGAGTTAAAGGTGGACGTGGCTGTGTTCCTTGTATCAGCAAAACTAGGTTTAAGAAAAGTAGTTGGTTCAAACTACTGTGTTTTCCTTTTTATTGAACACTTGAATCAAATCAAGGATTCTAGCACAAAACTAAGGAGGGAACAGTTGATTATTACATCTACACATTTTATCAAAGTTTTGTTCCCTAACAGTGATAAATTTCATAAATCATGTTTAATTTAAAAACCATAACCATACCGATTGCAGATAAGTATTGGGTTGTGAGGGAGAGTCCGGACATTCGGCTCGCAAGCTGATCAACACCGGTCTGTAACATACAACGCAATTACGCAATTTAGACTCTTCTTGTGAATTTTTTAAAATTAATTTTTATGTAAAAACTTTGAAGGTAAAAGCTGTTTGGATGTATAATTTTTTTTTTTTTTTTTTTTAGGGAGAGGAGGGAAAATGCTTTTACGCACACAGGTAGCCAGCCTGTAGTGTGAGACTCCTGAAATTATCAGACTACTCACTAAAAAACCCCCTCTACTCTGTTGGACACAGAACTGGAATTGTTTGTCACATTACTTCAAGTCAGGCCAACATGTGACCTAAGCCCTCAGGGCTCGCACCGTTTCTGGCATTTTGATTCTTTATGACCTACACCGCATCCCGGTCAAGGTCGATCTTCTTGGCGCGGAGGATACCCTGGATATAATGTGACACACAGGTCCAATTGTCCTCACCCTCCGTCATAATCGGTATGACCGTGTCCACCAACAGCAGTCCTATTAACTGTTGAGCCTCCAGGCGGGGCCTTTCCCAGCGCTGGCAGTGGAAAAATGTATGTTCCACGTCATCGAGAATGCCTGGGCAGTATATGCAGTCAGGAGACACGGCTTTGCCCATCCTGAACAGGTACGACCGGAAAAAGCCGTGTCCCGTCAGAAATTGGGTGAGGTAAAAGTCCACCTCTCCGTACCGCCGATCAACCCAAGGTTGGACTAGCTGTATCAGTCGCCTGGTCCAGAGTCCCCATGTCTCCTGTTCCCAGCCCTCCTGCCACAGCTGGTAGGTGCGGGTGCGTTCCTCTGTTCGTGCCTCGTCCTCCCCGCGGTGCCGCTAAATTGCCTTTCTCTCCGCCGCCAAAAGTTTGACGGGGATGACTCCAGCAATCACCAGGACGGCGGGCTCGGACACTGTTCGGTAGGCAGATGCTACCCTCAGTGCTGCCTGACGCTGCACTCGGGCGAGCCGCATCCTGTATGCCTCCTTATTTAGTGCGTCTGCCCACACCTCCGCACCGTACAAGAGTACGGACTGGACCGAAGACATTAACAGCCTTCTACGACTGGACCGAGGCCCTCCGACATTGGCCATCAACCGGCTAAGAGAAGAAACCACCCTAGCGGCCTTGTCCGCTGTTCGGAAGATCTGATCCCGCCAGCTAAGCTTGCTGTCTACCATGACCCCAAGATACTTGGCAGAACGAACAGTTTGAACCTCGACGGCTCCCACCCTCAACGGCACGATGGTGTCAATCCGTTTTTTTGTCAAAATCACGATCTCGGTTTTGCTCAGAGCAAGTGAGAGACCGTGGTCTGCCATCCATGCGTTTATGGTACGCATAACTCGGTTTAGCTTTAGCTGAGCCAGCTCAACGCTACGTGCAGCTATCAAAACTGCAACGTCGTCTGCGTACCCAACCAAGACCGTTTCCTCAGGCATTTCAGACCTCAGAAGGCTGTCATAAGCGACGTTCCAGAGGTCTGGGCCGAGTATGGAACCTTGGGCAGCACCAGAAGTGACACTCATCGTCCGCGGGCCCTCCGCAGTGTCATACGTTAGGAGGCGAAACCGGAGATAATCCTCTATGATGCGCATGAGGTATGCCGGCACGTGGAAGGTGTTCTCCAGAGCGTCCAGCATATCGCACCACCTCGCCGAATTAAATGCATTTCGCACATCGAGCGTTACGAGCAGCACAACCCTGCGAGAGTAGTGGTTAAAATCCTCAGCTCTCATCACTGCTTGCTTCACCTCCTCAATCGCATCAATCGTTGATCGCCCCGTCCTGAATCCATACTGACGAGGGGAGAGGTCCCCCGCAGCGACAACGGCTGAATTCAGCCGGGAACGGATCAATTTCTCGAGGACTTTGCCAGCCGTATCCAACATACACAGAGGTCTGTAAGAGGATGGCAGATCTGGGTCTCCCTTGCCCTTCCCAACAAGCACAAGCCTAGCTGTCTTCCAGCACAAGGGGAAAACCCCTTCGACCAGGCAGGCGTTGTACATGCTCAAAAGGATCAAGGGGTTGGTAGTCAAAACCTTCTTGAGGACTTCACCCGGTACCCCATCAGGACCAGGAGCCTTGTTGTTCTTCAGGGATATGACGGCCGCCACCAGCTCTTCAGGGCTGAAAAGTGGGACGTCGTCCACCCTTCCGAAATCCCGCAGTGGTCGCAACGCGTGAGCCGGGAAAAGGGACTCGACTATCCTCTCCATAGTGACCCTGTCCATAACGGAAGGTGGAGAGCGGGTTCCAAGTTTCTTGGTTACAAGTTTGTAACCCAGGCCCCACGGGTTGGAATCAACATCGTCCCTTAATTTATCCCAGCAACTGCGTTTACTCCGATTGATGGCTCGACGAAGATACCTCCTAGCCGCCCTATAAGCATCCGACTTACGCCGTCTGTCTAGGGGTTCTCTAGCCCTGGTAGCAAGTCTTCTGGCTCTCAATGCTGCTCGTCGCAATTCCGCAATCTCGGCAGTCCACCAGTACACAGGACGCTTATTGCACCGGTATCTCCTGCGAGGCATAGATTCATCGCAGGCCGAGACAATCAGTTCCATCGTGGATGCAACTAACGCCTCTGCGTGAGGCACGCCAGTTGCGGGATGAATATCCGGCGTTCTTCGTAGGATGGCTCCATTGAATTTTGCCACGTCCAGCTTTTTAATGTTCCATCGAACGGGCACTTGACGAAACGCTGCCACTTGTCTCTGATGACCATCCAGGACGTCAAAAATTATGTACTGGTGGTCACTGCCCGTGTAATCCTCCAGGACTCTCCAGGATCTGATCCTTGGCAAAAGGGACTCAGATGCAAGGGTAATGTCTGGGATCGTCCCCCGCATCCCAGGGCGGCGGAAAGTTGGCGTGTTGCCCTCATTCAGTACAACGAGTCCGGCTCTGGCAGCAAAGTCCAGAATATACTTGCCCCGGGAGTTGGTGAGGGTCATTCCCCACTCGACAGCCCTAGCATTAAAATCCCCACCCACGACGACGTGTCCGGTGGTATCGCGCACGCTCTCTTCTAGGCGGTCTATCTTCTCACGAAAGTCACGGATGGCCTCGTTGGGAGTAAGGTAGACACTGAAGTAAGTGACATCCCTGCACCGAACCCAAACGAAACCTCGGCCATTCGCGTGACCCCGCACTTGTACTTTAGCTGCATTACGAGCCCAGAATGCAGCAGTACCAAGACTATCAGGGAACCATAAAGATGGGTCCCTATCTCGATACTGGTACTGTTCGCTGATTAAGAGAGCGTCGACATCGTGTTCGAGGGCAAACTGACAAAGAAGTGCGTCAGCCGTCCTGGATCGCTCCAGATTGCACTGAAGGATTCTTATCTTCGTGGGAGAGATTTCGCTTGCTGTAGAGCAGTTTTAAATACACTACACTGCCCAGACCCAGCTATATGCTTTACGTGTTTGTCAGCGAGCCCATTTTCTTTGCAAAGGAAACAGGACTCGACTTTGCAGTCCTTACGGATGTGACCAACCTCCCCGCACCGAAGGCAGTTCTTGCTTCGGTCGGGTCCCTTGCAGTTTCGGGAGGAATGGCCGAAACAGAGGCATTTAAAACACCTCTTCACTTCCACTCTCCGTCTGAGCCTGCAGTTGACCCAGCCGACTCTCAGATGCTGGAGTGCCAGCACCCTAGTGGCAAGCGCGTCTGCCATTTCGGCGATTGCCATCCGCTGCTGACTCCTATTGGGTTTTGTGAGCCAAACCCTTAGGATGGCCGTTTGCCCGGCAAGCTCGGGTACAGCTTTCTTCAGGGCCTCAACAACGTCACTCTCCGTCGACACACAATCAATGTCTCGAACCTCAATTGATGTCTTGGGCTCAAGAGCACGGACGGTGCCCTGGCCTTCAACAGCTGCCTTCAGTTCGGCAGTAAAAGCAGCCTTGTCTTTCGACTTACCCAGTTCAAGGAGAACGTCCCCTTCCCGGGTTTGTCTAATCGACCGTACAACCGTATCGGTCTGCTCCGGTTTAGCTTTGGCCTTTATTACGCCCAAGACCTCGGCAAAAGATCTCCCCCCTGAGGGTTTGACAAGGATTGCCTCCGTCCTGGGCTTTTTGGGCCGCGACCTTTTCGGAGCAGGGACCGAGCCGGGCCCAGTTTGGGCCACGCCGGTTGGCTGTGCCTTCACTGCCTCATTCTTCATGGAGGCGACCTCCGCCCGCCTCAATTGCCTCTTCTCCTTTTTGGAAAGGCGTTTTTCCCACACAGCCTCAGGTGTCTCCACCACTGACCCCTTTCGGGAACTTCCCTGAAGGGGGGTCGTGGGTTGCTGTGCCTGTCGGCGCCTCGCTGGAGCTGCAGCTACGTCCGAAAAGGATCTGGACACAGCAGACGAGAGGTCCGTCTGAGTCGCCTTGGCCTTAACCGTGGTCTTTTTGGTCTGGACGCCTTCTTCTCTTTTTGGAGGACTCTCCGATGTGGAAGGCCTCCGACGTTTCTTAGAGGGCAGCGCTCTTTCATCGGGCAGGGACACCACCTTTTCGGCAATCTTTTCCATGGTCGCCTTGCTTACCAGACGGCAGGCAAAGACAAAGCCAAGGTCATCCTCTAGTTTGGCCATTCCATTTTTGACCACTTGATTTACGGCTCTCTGGGTCCGGAAGGTGTCCAGCATAGCCTTAATGGTCTTTTCCGTGTCACGGAGCCGGGTTTCAATGTTACTATCTGCGTCAAGATATTCCTGACGCAGAAGCACAATCTCAGAGCTTTCCGACCGCGACGTCGCTGTGAGGGTTTCCTTCGGCATCCCTACAGCATCTACATCGCCAACATTTTCTGCACCGTTCCCAGCTCCACTTCCCGAAGGAGATCCTAACGGGGGAATCATAGAGCACTTGAAAGGTGCAGGTGGCGGAGATGTCCTCACGTTTTTCGGTGGTGGCGACCTCTTAAGTTTGGAGCTTCGGACAAAAGGGCTCTGCTCCACTTCAAACGAATTTACTTGCTCATTTGAGCTCCTCTTCAATGATGTGTTTGGGGTATTTTTATCAAAACTCATCGTGTTTTTTCCAGCGCATCGTGCGGCAAGGAGCGGCCCGGAATCAGTCAGGAACGGGTATACCCTCGGGGACAAAAACCCCTACCCCGGTTCCCCGGGGCCCAACCTCCGTTTGCCCAGCACCGGATACCTGACGTGCCGGGGGTCGCCCGTCGCAATGCAGAGCCCGACCTCTGCATCCATGCCGCACTCCCTGACCAAGGACCGAAGTGGCTGGTTTCTCACGACCCACTGAGAATACCCATCGGCAGTGCAGAGCACACATCAACCCCTGCAACACAACAGGGGCACTCCCAGGGACTCCCAGTGAGTTCGTCGGTCACCCTTTTAGTCGCCTCTTACGACAAGCCCGAGAAGGCTGCGGTACTATTCTAACCCGGTACCGCACGGGGGAGTTTGGATGTATAATAAACATACCAGTAAATTTAGCAATCAGTTAGGAGTAGTTTTCTGATTTTGATTTACAAATAGGCTAAAATACAGATTGAATAAGTCTTTTTTTAGTACAGATTAACTCAGCAGCCCTAGGGGATGTTATTTTAATTTCCTTTGATTTAAATTATCATTTTATTTGTTTTTTACAAGTCTCTGCTGTTCAACATCAAAAAGTGTTCGACGTACCGGTACTTTATCCGTGGATAAGCATTTTGCGACAACTACCTAACATTCATGTCATGGAATATATTGGAGACAACATACCATGCATCACCTTCTTTAGGTTATGTGTCTAAAAACCAACTGGGTGTATAAATAATTCAAGTGAATAATAAATTTGTTTACACATTCAAAAAGTATTTGTTACTACTAACTACAAGCTACCTACTATTAAACCACCCTTTCATAAATAAAATATGAAGCCAAACGCCACAAACAGGAATTTAGACTTTTTGAACCCTTTTAAACCAAATGTATAGAGAGAATGCAATTTTATGAAGCTGTTTTTGCATATAGGCTAGATCTTTACCAGTTTTCTTGGAATAAAACAATTACCGGTATCTATAATCTATATATTAATAGAAGCACGTTTCTTTAAAATATTTTTTCTCAGCTCCTGTGCATCGCAGGGGAAATCTACGCATATTGATAGGAATGTGTTTTCCTGTAGATATGCAGAATCCCTGTTTAAATTAAAATAGGCTCAAAAATAAGGACAAAAAATGAATTTAAAATAAAAATACCCCCGCCACAGCAAACCTGCCGTCTAAGCGAATTTCCATTTGGCTGAATTGATTTTCAATTGGTCTATTTAAATAACATTAGGTTTAACGAGTACCTAGGTTTGCTGCTACAAGGAAACTAATAAATAGTGTGTTTTAAGTAAAATAATTATTGCTTAGTATAAAATGAATATATTTGCCAAGTTCGATCAAAAGACATCCATAAACAAGCAAACTACAACATTTTACAATATTCTCCATAAGAATAACATGGGAATTTTAAATTTAATTTTTTTTTTGTTTTCTCCGTAACCAATAACCGTACAAAAACACTTTGATATACTGAATTGTTTGTTTTTTTAAGCTCTTTAAGAAGGTTTAGAGAAAAATTGGAAAATTTTGTGTTTTGAGGGTCAAAAGTGAGAAAAACCAATTTTTAACCCATAAAACCCCCCATAAAATCCTGTTCCCATGGTCCGATCATGCTGGATCGCGAACTCATTCAAGTTTATCCCGCCTTACACCTTCAAACCAAATTTCATCAAAATCGGATAAAAATTACTCAAGTTATCGTGTTCACGGACACATATATATATAAATCTATATATATATATATATATCTATATATATATATCTATATATATATATATATACATATATAAAAATTTGAACGAATGGTGTTTTTGGCCTCTGGGGACATCAAAATGAAAAAGTAAATCGGTCCCGGGCCTAAGTCTTACCATGAGACCTACGGTAATAGCTACTTCCCTATAGGGAAATTCGCTAAAAATTACATGGGCCTTGTGGGAAAGTGGGTTGCCAAGCTGGTGACAAAATAACAACAAAATATAAACAGAAAATCAAAGCAAATGGAAGAAATTAGGCACTATACAGGAAGAAACAACATGATACAAAATAAAAATAGGATACAAGGAATCGTTTACTGTTAACATTTCACCCCATACCGTACCCGTAAAAGCAGCAAAATAGTTTCTTTCAAAATAAAAACTAACAACTAAAGTAAGAATACATTATTTGGTAATACTAAGTTGCATTAAAAATAGATTATATGTCATTTAGGCTACTTAAAATGTATCTTTTAACTTATGTTACTAATTTATATATTACATTAATAACAAAAACAAAAACGCTCAATGGCCCAATTTCTTAAAACAAAGCTTTTCTTTCAGTTAATAAGACATCCATTTTTAAAGACTGGACAATTTTTTTTAAGGTGTGAAGGTGGGCCCAGTTTTTGGTTTTGTGCTCTTTGATTTTTATCAGTTGTGTTTTTGTCCTGTATTGTTATATTGTTGACCTGTATAGCCTATGTGTGGTTTTTCAAAGTTAATATTTTGGATAGTTTTAAAAATATCTTAACTTAAGTATGACCAGGCAGTTCTACTGCATCTTTAGTGATAAAAAGATGTTTGTATTCCTGTGACAAGTAAGCTTTTATTATTATAATTTTAATTTTATATTAACACACAACCAAACTTACCTTTTCACTAGGTTCACTAACATCCACATTTTGCCTCTTACTTGAGTCATTGTCATGAGATTGCACTGAAGGCGTCGATGAGTTTACTACTGGTACTTGTGAGTGAAATTGGAATGATTTTGAAGATTCGTCAAAATAATAATATGTTCCACTGTTCCCTTCATAGTACAAACCTAATTCCTGTAAACAAAATTTATTTTTAGGCTACCTAAAATCACTGGTCACATCTAGAACCTCCTTAACCCAAGAGAGGACGCATACTGAAAAATTATCAGGTTGGTATTTTTTGCATACATGTTGTAGGCCTATTTATTAGGAGTCTTTGACTATCACTAAAATAGCTTTTATGCTATGAACCCATTCCAAAAGATGGTTTTTTTTTTTTTTTTTTTTTTTTTTTTTTTTAAAGCTTGGTGGCCTCTTTTAATTGTGCATAATTTGCCTGTCCACATAGACTAAGCGCCCGTGCGTGGATTGTTTACAGCAAAGTAAGGAGTGAGCCGGTACAGTACAAAGGTGAACTGTAGGTAAATTTTAGTGGCAGTGACCAGGATCTGAACCCACGACATCACTGTCTTGGGCCCGAAGTCTGTGACGCTACCAACTGAGCCACCGACTCACATATTTGTATGCGTCTCTTCGCATACAGTATTCCAATTATTGTGACTTAAGCTGAGTTATTAAGTAAAAGAGATAAGCTAAATCAGTTTTAAATACAAACGTTATCCAAAATTTATACTTAATCCTAGCTTTTGTTACCGATAATATTGAATTGTCTTTTAATTACTTTAATATCATTACTACTAAAAATGTAGGCTACCGTAATTAATTTAACATAACAGATTTGATTTTTTGTTCCTTATTCACCATTTTCTTCTTCTTGACTTTCGTAATTTGCATGGTATAACTTAAATGAAATGGACTTTTACTTCAAATTCTTTAACTAAACTAAAATCAAACAAACAAATAGGCTACAGTGGTAAACAATCTTACAGCGTTATAGTAGTATCCAGTGTTGTAGTCGTAGTACATGCCTGAAGTGGCCTCGTAAACAAACCCTGTCTGTTGAACTGCATTCTCTGCAGCTTTTTTAATGTCTTCCACAAGGTTTCCTGTTTCAGCCGATTCCGTCCAGACTTCAAAATCTGTATCACTGGTCTGAGTGTTTACATCTTTTTTGGTGATTCGGTTAACACCACCCTTTAACAAAAATATATCCTAATATTATAACAAGTTATTCATTACAGTACACATGTTTAAAACTGCACTTAGTGTTGGGTTATTCATAGTCAAGAGCCTACTACAGTTAGTAATAAAAGTACTTTACTAGTGAATTATGTCCAGTGATAGAAGTAAATTCTATTAACTAAGTTACTATGGTCAAAAGTTATGTTAATTAGACCTGTAAGTTAACTTCATAGCTTTGATGCTGTAACATCAAATAGCCTACAGTAGGAAACATCGGAGGGATTAAAATTGACAAAAGAAAATACCTATAAGCCTAGTCTACACAAGCAATAAAAGAGTACTGTAGGTAGCCTAGATATTTAACTTTGACAAAACCAGCAAAACTTTGATATCCGTAATGTAAGTTTGGATTTTGGTTAGGCTGTTTGGTTGTTATTGGAATCAATACTTTTAATAAGTTATTCTTAGCCTATATGATGGAGTCAGAAATCATAGGCCTACGTTTTTTTAATTATTGAAAGTGCAGTCATAAGATACTTAGAAGTACAATTTAAAATATCGATAGTTTTGGTTCAATACGACGTAGTAGAATTTAAATTTTTACCTAACAAATTCTAGAATAGGTACTAAGAATGCTTAACTTTAAGGCCACTATTAGCCGTGAGCGACTAAGTTAGTTGGGCAACTCAGCGGGAAACTAGTTGCCCGGTCAGTCTACCAGTTCCATCTGGCGCCGGGACAACAAGGGTAATTTGGGCAACTGCAAAAAATTTATATAGACAGAAATCTTTGCTATGGTTACGTACACATGGGAGCGTTGCAACGGGCGTTGTAACGCGCTTCAGATAAGCCTTTGCGTACACATGACAGCGTTGCAACGCGCGTTTGAGAAATTTTGTCTCAAAGCATGTCTCGGCATAGCCATAAAAGTCGAAAAGGTAGTTTTTACTAACTTTTTGTAAGGGAGTTGTAGGCCTACTTAAGAAAGAAAAAATCAAAATACCCTCGTTGCAGCTTAATTTAATATTTCAATTATAAAATATTAAATTAATGATGTTTTTTGCCTTTTTTTGGACATCAAACTGGAAAAAGTAAAGCAGCCCCGGGTAATTGTGTCGGGGAAAATTCCCTAAGAACACTTTTTACAAGAAAGTTTAGCTCGTATGTTTTTTCTTTGTAACCTAATTGAGGATACAAACGTCAGCTTTTAAATTCTAAAACATGTTAACTTAATTGCTTTATTTAACGAAAGTTTAAGTCTGTCTAGCACCTTGTGAGATCATTGTTAGGGATTGGATTTTAAAAGAAGAGATCATCGTGATTACCATAAGGTATTTTATATAGAAGTACTCAGTAAACATACATAAAACCTACTCCCCTCTACTCCAAAACGCGCGTTACAACTCTCACATGTGTACGGTCCCATAAGAACCTTCGTAGCTCGAGGCGCGCTGCTAGCGCGCATTGCACGATGAACCTCTGAGACGCGCGTTGCAACGCGCGTTGGCCGAAGCACTGGCGCTGCATGTGTACGCACTCATTTGATTGCTGTGTTTCTAGGACGCGCGTTGCAACGCTCCCATGTGTACAGGGTCTATACGTGGACAAATTTGTGCTCTTTGAAAGTCAGTGTCAATTATAGTGTTGAGCAGTATGGAGGGAGCTCTTTTTCTTCCCCTTCTCTTGAATTGCCGGCTGAGTTGTCCAGCTAGTTGCTAACGGCTAATAGCGGCCTAAAAGGACAACATGTAAAGTGTCTTTTATTAACTTTTAAATTGCCTAAGGCCATCAACTTCCTACAAACAAAAACCAAAGATATTTTTTTACATTGACTCAAAATCTAGGCTTACTTACCTCTTTTAATTTATGATATAGTTTGTGAATGAGAGCTCGCTGGCGTAATATACATTGTTGAAGTTTCTTTACAAATCTGAGAACTTCTGGCAAGTCTCGTATCGCATCATCAACAGATTGGCTTGTAACAAAGTTGTTTCCCCATTCACCTCCATCTCCACTGTTTTGTAGGCTCAAAAGGTCAACATTTGGAGCTTCGTTTTCTTCCGGGGATGGTTGTAGGATTAGGCCTACTTTATTTCCAAGTGTTTCTGTAGTTGATTTTGCAGGTTCAATCTCTTCTGACTGTATACCTACATCTTGATCATTGTTTTCCAAGGAATCACCCATAACTTTTTTTCATCTGAAACCGAAATAACTTGTTAACAAAATAAAAATACACTATTTTATATTTAGGCTGAGAGAGTTCATTGTTATTGGGAAAGAATTGACGAGGCATATTGTGCACACAATGTTGTTTAAAATAGGCCTATCTAAACCATAAACAGTCGTAAACGCACTCACATAACTAGTACAAATAACAAATAGTTAAATTAATTTCAACCATTAACACTGTAATCCAGCATCTCTAGCAACATTCATAAAACTCTTAACCTTAACCATAAACCATAACCTCAAAGAATGAAATGAAGTTTGCAAGGAGAAGAAGAACAAGTCAGCCAAGACCATAACGTTAAGTGAAGATATGAATAAAAAGTAACAAATTATTAGATATTTTCGCAGGCTCGTTGATTATAGTATATACTATTTTTAACTAGAGTTCTATGTTTATGATAATAAGCAAATCCACGCAAATCACATGTTACGATACATAATCTTGTTGTTTTGAATTAAATCATAAATCATTTTATTTGGCCATTTAATACAAACTGTACAAGGCTAAGTCATATCAAACATCACAATTCAACATGCACAAATCAAACATCAAATAATAAAAAGCAAACATGCAAGCAAACAAAATAAAATCAAGAGTTCAAAGCAAACAGTTCTGCAAAACAGCAAACCATGCATCTTACCAAGCCATACATTACTTGTGTTATCTTTCATTAATCATGCTAGAGATCTGCTTCATAAAACCAAAATTCATCTAATTAACTATACAGCCCGATGTGTAACTCACTCACTCAATGGGGATACAAATTCTAGACCACTTCTAGAATAGCTAGAGATCTGAAATTTGGCACACTTGTAGGTCTTGGGCCCAAACCCACGGGAAAATCCTAAAAAGTTGCATTTTTTAACATTAACCCCCCCGTAATCTCGAATTTCCCCCCCTTGTTATTCTTATTGGAAATAACATTGAAAATTCCCGACTTTGGTATGGTCATATGAATCGTTTAGAAACGTGCTAGAGACTTCAAATTTGCGTAGTATTGTAGTAAGAGACCTTACATTACCGGTGGAATATGCAAAAGTCCCATTTTCAAATTTTAACCCACCCAAAAATCCAAAATGGCGGACCTCTGAAAACGAAAAACACTTTTTTTTCAACCGGATGTAGCTCGAAAACGGTAAGAGCTAGAAAAGATTTGAAAGAATCTTAGCGAAAGGAAATTAAATTTTCTACAAAACCCTCTTAGGCGTTTTCTAAAAATCGCATTCCTTCAGCTTCAAAAAACGCCCTACTTTCAAAATTTGGTAAATTTTTATTAAATTTTTACCGGTTTTCGCCATTTTTTCATACTTAAATAATTTTTTTTTCACAAATTATTATTGCTTTGTATTTTCCTTACTTTACTTTAAATTTTACTCATGACATGTTTTTTCGTAACTTTACTCCTTGACCCCCAAAACTTAATTTTAATCTCAAAATTTGAAGGTTTTTTGCCACTTTTACGAGCCCCATGTTATTCTTATGGAGAATAAGATTGAAATTTAATGACTTTGGTATGGTCATATGAATCGTTTAGAAACGTGCTAGAGACTTGTAATTTGGTAGTATTGTAGTAAGGGATTATAAGCTAATGGTGAAATTTTCAAAAGTCCCATTTTCAAATTTTAAGCCCCCCAAAAATCCAAAATGGCGTACCTCTGAAAACAAAAAAACACACTTTTTTCAACCGGATGTAGCTCGAAAACAGTTAGAGCTAGAAAAGATTTGAAAGAATCTTAGCGAAAGGAAATTAGATTTTCTACAAAACCCTCCAAGCGTTTTCCGGAAATCTCACTCCTTCAGCTTCAACAAACGCCCTACTTTCAAAATTTGGTAAATTTCTTTCAAATTTTTACCAGTTTTCGCTATTTTTTCATACTTAAATAATTCCTTTTCGCAAATATTATTATTGCTTCGTATTCTCCTTACTTTACTTTAAATTTTACACTTTACGTGTTTTTTCGTAACTTTACTCCTTGACCCCCAAAACTTAGGTTTAATGTCAAAATTTGAAAATTTTACGAGCCCCATGTTATTCTTATGGAGAATAACATTTACCCTATAAAACCACCATAAATCCCCGTTCCCATGGTTCGTTCATGCTATAGATTTACTCTGGTTTACTTAAGGTTTTATCCTCCTATCGTATTTACAACCCCCCCAAATATTAAATCCCCCCCAATGTTATTCTTACAGGTGCATAATTCTAAATCACGTTTACCCATTTCTAGAATGACTAGATCTGAAATTTGGCATGATTGTAGATCTTGCGCCCTTTCCGAAAAGTGAAATTTTACAATTATAACTCCCCCCCACGAAATATAGAATCCCCCCAATGTTATTCCTACAGGTGCATCGGTCTAAATCAATTTTACCCACTTCTAGATTAGCTAAAGATCTGAAATTTGGCTCAATTGTAGGTCTTGCACCATTACCCATTTGTATTTACCCCCAACCAAAAAAGGGGGCCTGGGGGCGTCGTATTTTCAACCTCCCCCCAAATATTAAATCCTCCCCCCCCTAATGTTATTCTTACAGGTGCATAAGTCTAAATCACGTTTACCCATTTCTAGATTTACTGGATATCTGAAATTTGGCATGATTGTTGATCTTGCGCCCTTTTCGAAAAGTGACATTTTACAAATATAACTCCCCCCCACGAAAATTAGAATCCCCCCCAATGTTATTCCTACACGTGCATCGGTCTAAATCAATTTTACCCACTTCTAGATTAGCTAAAGATCTGAAATTTGGCTCAATTGCAGGTCTTGCGCCATTACCTATTTCTTTTTACCCCCAACCAAAGAAGGGGGCCTGGGGGCGGAGCCCCCAGCGAGCCAAAGGCGAGTCCAAGCTATATAGAGGGTTTGACAAACCCATGGTTTTATAGTTTTTACAAACTTAGATGGTTTTACACAGGGTTTTTACAGCTGTTGGGAGGCGATTGAAAAATGTCATACCTGAAACAGGATAACAATTCAAGACAAAACTTAACCTAGATCTGTTCATGTGAAAGTTATTTCTATTCCTTGTATTATACATATGGATGTCGCTGTTTGTCAGTTGCAAAAGAAAAAAGAATTAAATATAGACTGTCAGCCGTGCTGCGGTTGCCATGGTTACCATAGGTTCCGGCGCACACCGCTGCAGTTTACGTAGCGCGTACGCCGTAACTACGGTGGTGCTCCAAGCCAGAACCTATGGTAACCGCAGCACAGCTGACGGTCTACATTCAATTCTTTTGTAATACACTCTCATTATCTTTGATTGCTACTAGGCACTGAAAAATGTAAATATTACCAGTCATTGCGCCACATAGTTTGAACAATGGTTTGCAATAGGCTCGGTGTTGGGCATTACATAAAATTCTTACTGCTATTTTTTGCAACAGAAGAACGCTGTGGGCCCTGCTGGAATGACCCCACAGCCTAGCACCGTACCCAATGTGAGATTGAAAAAAAAACAAAGAAATCATATTTAAGGAAAACAAAAGGCGTATCACTTTAAAGCCTACGCAACAAGAAAATGACTCTACTCAACTTTGAACTAAGTGAGTCTATGTGGTCACTCCAGCTTAGAACAGAGTTGAGAGAAAATCCAAAGGCGGTGAAAAAAACCAAACGGCCAAACGATGAAAAATCATAGATAAAGAGTGTAAAGTATGCTGTTGCACAAATACCAACCCCATGACGTCAAAAGCTTGTAAAAAGACTATGTTTCTTGCAGTGACTGTACTTTTGGAAATGATGAGATTTGGACGTCGTCGTGCAACAGTCGAGTAGTTTATATTGCACATAAGACAGCTTACAAATTATATTTTTGACGTCATGACGATGCCTTATATCATTGGACGTCGTGACACTGACTTGTAATTGGACGTCGTGCAACACTCCCAGCTTTACACTGTCAGGCCGCATAGCAAACGCCGCGTTATCGTGCCTAGATGCATATTATTCCCTCCTTGAGGAAGCTATCAAAAGGCTTATTAGTCCCGTCCAATTCAATCGTTGAATACTTCCACATTGTCTGTGATATAATACATTATAGTAAACGTCCGGTCATCATTATGTATATTATATATATTATTATACATATTATGTATAGTCTACACATAATTTTTCTGAATAGTGTTTTTGCCCTCTTGGGGACATAAAAATTAAAAAAAAAAGTAAAAAGTAAATCGTTCCTGGTTCTAGGTTTTACCATACCGCACATGGTAATATTAGATTCTAAGAGGAAATGCGCTAATAAAGAGTCTTTTACAAGACAAACTTTTTATTGATTTAAATTAGCTTTACATTTAATTTTAATTTATTTGCAAAAGTTGCCAAACAACAGGTAAAATTACAATTATAAGCCATAATCCAAATAACTTAGGATTGGCAATGATAATCAATGGTTTTAAAGCTTTGGTGATAGCAAAAGTTAGATTACCAAAACTTCATCCCGTTCCAGTGTATCATATAGCTATTGATCTGAAGCATACTGTAGTTAAGTTATGATCTCGAGTGTTTTATTGCTGGCCAAGCAGAATATCCTTACCCGTGTGCTGTACTCATGTTGTGCTACAGAAACGAATTTTTTACCCTCCAACACAAGGATTTTAAGTGCCTCCAATTAAAAAGTGACCTAATTTGATTTATTTTTCTTGTACTGTATTGGGATTATGATTATAATTTCCTGATGTATTATTAAACGATCCTTAAGAAGGTATCGCTTGGAACGCATGGTCGGAAATTTAGCGTATGAAAGGACGGTAATTAAGCATACTTTGCCATAAATGGAGTCCAGGAGCTTTAAAATGCAATGCTACAAGTAGTTTTATTCAGATACTACCTATTTTATCTAGTATTCGCCTTAAAAGTTACTTTTTATACCTATTTCACGGAGTAAGGATTATGAACTCTGGGTAGCTTTAACATCCTCATGCTTATCAAGAGTTTAAAATTCAATTTCACACATAAAAATATTTGAACAGCCTAATGCTTTTCTTGTGTGTGAATAATTAACTTAACGAGAGGTCGTCCAGTGGTCGAAACTCGACCAAAAATATGTAATGTACTCACTTATCTATTTTCACCCCACACTGTAAATAAAACATGTGATTGGAGTTTCCTCCATTTGTTTTGATTTTCTGTTTATATTTCGTTGTTATTTCGTAACCAGCATAGCAACGCATAAGATCCATGTTAAT